AATTCATGATTTCCATCATTTCCCTGACTTTCTTTCTTTTTTAAAAAAATCTGTGTCTACTCTAGATTTACTATGTCCTTCATTATGGTCATCATTTCTTTAGTTATCTGAGAAATTATTACTGATTCTTTTTTTTTTAGAGCCTAATTCATCTGCTTTGTTACTTCTGGTGTTCAGGTGGGTGGCTTTTGATTTCTTCCATCTCACTGCCCCCTGGATTTGACTTGGGTAAGCTGGAGGTCTGGGGTTACATCGTGCTTTGGTGTCTTCTCATTTTTGTGTTTTTGATTTGTTTTCTGTGTTGATGCTTGTAAACTACTTATGGAAGGTAGCTTTATTACTAGTATCGAGACCTCCTTAGGAAATGATTACTTTTCAGATGTCTTCCATGTGTAGATGGCTTTTGGCTTTTAAGTCTGTCCCAAGATCCTACTGCTTCCATTTCCTAGGGACAAGAAGTCGCTGTCTATTGGGCCTAGCACCCAGTTCTTTGGTACTGGACTATGGTATTGTTTATGATCTTCCAACAACCTTGGTATTGGCATACAAGGATGAACAACTGATCACAACTATGTCACCCTGGCTAAAGTAGTACAAGGAATAACATCATCCAGCACAGCCTAGAAAATGACAAACGATGGTAATTACTGATTTCCCACCTTTAACCATAGGAACAAGATGTATAGTTATATAACAAAATCTAAAACCCAGAAAATTTTATATAGTAAATATTCCCTCAATAGAGGAATTTTACCCTCAGGGGAGAAAGTTTAAAAGGGATAAGAGGAAAATATAGGGAAAAAAGAGAAGAGAAAGAGATTAGAAGTCAGACTGAAAGACAAAGATTACCTACACTTTGGGAAACTGGTGAAGAAGACAAAAGGGAAAGAAAGAAGGAAGAAACACAAACAAGAACAAAAATCCCTCTAAAAACAATGTTCACTCTTGGGCCGGGAATTTAGCTCAGTGGTTTCGCTGCCTGCTACGCAAGTGCAAGGACCCGAGTTTGATCCCCGGTACCAAAAAAAAAAAAAAAAAAAAACCAAAACAATGTTCACTCTCATGAAAAAACAAGTACAAACAATCAAGGGAAAAAAAAGGAAACAGAAAAAAGAGAGGGATTTCTCTGATTTTTCAGCCTGTGGTTATCTTCTAGAGTGTACAGTTTTGTGGTAATATCCATTTCCCAGTGTGTCTCTGCTGTCACTGGTAGATAAAAGGAGGAAGACAGAGCCCAGATCCATGTTGGACAATCCCAGCAAGCCTGCAGTAGAATTAAGGTGGGGTGCTAGATAAACCCATCAGTCCTGGGATTTCAACTCCATAGAAGTTCAGGCTGATCCACATCTGAGGCTTTAAGGCTGGGGCTCAGGTTGTTCAGCCCACAACATTCTGGGTATCTCTTGCCAGCTTGATCTCAGCTACCTGACCCTGGATGTCTCCCAGGTCTGCACTTCACCCTGACACTGGGCACTCCAAGATGAAGCCTATCCATGGCTGGTCTGAGTCCTGGGCTCTGTTGGCCCCTCCCCGAAATGGCACCCAGCCAGTCACCCTCTCCTGGGGATGTTTGGACTGAAGTCACTCACCAGCCACTGCAGACCACAATATCCACTGCTCCGTTCCACTGGTGCATCTCTTCCTGGAGGCCTCCGGAGTCACTGGCCATCACTGCGTCTCTGTATATTTCAGCCTCCTCAGGATGAGAGCTGGGAGTCAGGGAGAAAGAACTGTTTGCCATCTCCCTCTTCTTCATTGAGGTTTCTCTTTGTTCTCCCTGATGGCTCCAATTCTTGCTTTAGATCCTTACTGGGTCCCAGGATTCAGTTCCCTCCTTCTCTTCCCCAAGTTGCTATACTCAAGTGTCGGGAATCTGAATCTTGGAGAGGTTGATTTGCTGTTCCTCACCACTTCCTGGAAGTGGCGTCTATTTTTGTTTTTTTGAGACAGGGTCTGGCTACGTAGTTCAGGCTGTCCTCAAACTCTCCTTTATCCTCCTGCCTCAGTCTTCCAAGTGCTGAGATTACAGGCATACATTTCCACATCTGGCTTCATGAATATCTTTTATTTTTTTTGGTACTGGGGATCGAACTTGGATCCTTGTGCTTGTGCAGCAGGCGGAGAAACCACTGAGCTAAATCCCCAGCCCTTCATGAGTTCATTTATTTATTTATTTATTTATTTATTTATTTATTTATTTGGTACTGGGGATCAAACTCGGGTCCTTGAGCTTGCAAGGCAGGTGGTGGAACCACTGAGCTAAATCCCCGGTCCCATGAGTATCTTTTAAAGGCATGAACTGCATGCAGCATCTCTGGCACATAAAAATTTATTACATTCAAGTGAAATTTTAAAAACACCAAAACCAAACAATTTTTGGTCCAGTGTTTATTATATAAAATTGTTTACAACAGTAAAAACTTAAGACAAAAATACAAATCAAACAAGACAAAAATATGTTGCAGAGAAACACTGAAAACATGGCTATGTCCTTCAATAACCCAAGAACACACATACACTGTCAGAAATGCACACTCGGTGCCCATCTCTGATCCCACTCATTCATTTTGACTTCCTGAGCACCTTCTGGGTGCAGTAGCCCTGCCTTAGGTGCTGGGGACACAGAGGTGACTGAGTGGGGTCCCTGCCCTCACAGAGCTGCTGCTCCAGGAAGAAGACAGACATCAAACACAACATAAAACCTGTCAGGTAGTCACAGGGTTGGGGTAGACTTCCATAAACCCCAAACTCCTGAAGAGCAGTTGAAGCTGCTTTACATGTCTAGTCTCTTTTAGGGGAAAAGATACAAACTTAAAAAAATATTTTCCCCTCAGAAATAGGTACTGAACCCAGGGCTTTGTGTGTGCTAGCAAAACACTCTACCACTGAGCTGCAGCTCTAGATTTCTTGTTTTTGAAAAAGGGTCATGCTGTTTCCCTGGCCAGTTTTGAACTTGTGGGCTTAAGTGATCTTCCTGCCTCAGCCTCCAGAGTAGCTGGGACTACTGGTATGCACCATCATGCCAGGCCTAAATTATATTTGTTGTTGTTGTTTTGGGTACCGGGGATTGAACTCAGGTCCTTGTGTTTGCGAGGTAGGCAGCAGAACCACTGAGCCAAATCTCTGGCCCCTAAATTATATTTTTAAACTAACTGTTTTACAGGTTGCAAATTTCTGGTCAGGCTCTTAAAGTTCATAGCTCTGAACAGCATTTCTAATCAGAATCTATATTAATAAGTACTTTTATGGCTGTGCTACTTGAATAAGGCCCACATCTTAAGTACGAGCATGTGTACATATATCCATATATGTGTTATGGGCCTGTGTCCATATTTCATATTAACACTGTTTAGCATGTCTTTCACATAAATTCTCAGAACACAGTCAGCCTGTCCCGAGAACTACCAGCATTATAATTTTCAGGCAGTTTACTGATGGCCCCAAATGCATGGTATTTCTAAGAAAAAACTATTGTTCAGAAAAAATACCCTCTTAAAACTAAGCAGCACATCCTTTTAAAGAGCACCATGAAGGATGGAACGGAACTTCGAAGACAAGGCAAAACAGAACTCCTCTGCTGTCCTTTCTGTTGCCATCAGGTTTGCTGAAACCACGGTGGGTCCAAACCTGAAGGCTTGCATTCCCACAGCTTAGGGACCTACGGTTTCACTGGCATCTTATACTGTTCCTGTGTGGGTTTTCCCTTGCCACATCCTACAAGGCTCAGTTTGGTTTTAGGTTGCCCAGTGGGATGCAAGTGCCAGGCAGGATCACTGAGTGCTGTCAGAGGTCAAGAGGTGTTCTGGATCCTCCTCTCTTCAGAGGGCCCTTGCAGGATGACAGGGCCGTCACCGTGCGCAGTAGCTGAGACGCTGCGCTTGGGGGTCACTGAAGGCATCCCCAGCAGGGTGGGTCTCCACAGGACCCCAGGCCTCCTGCGTGCTGGATGACTCCGGAAGCCGGCAGCAGGCCAGGAACTCTCTCGGTCTGCACGCCTGTGTGTGCCCAGGAGGAGCTGACCACTGCAGCACCCCGACCTTCCCTTCCACCAGGATGACTGCACCACCTTGGCAGAGGTATCAGCCTTGGTGATGTCCCTCCCCAACGTGCCGTCACAACTTCCCTGGGCCCTGCTGCAGTAACTGGAGGGAGAACTTTGTCCTAGAGCCCACCAGGATTCCCAGACTTCCTGCCGACAGAGGACACCCATGGACGATCCCAAATGCTAAGTCACGTAAAAGTGAGCCACAGCTGCCTTTGGAAAGCATGGTGTAATTTCTTCTGGTTTTTTTTTGGTTTTTGAGACAGGGTTTCGCTATGTAGCACAGGCTGGCCTCCAACTCACAGTGATCCTCCTGCCTCAGCCTCCTGTATCCTGGGAACACAGGTATGTGCTACTACACCCAGCTTTTTAAAAATCAGGCTTTTCTTCCTTTTGCTTCTTTCCCCTTGTCTTGATATTGAATAACCTGCATTTTCTCAAGTACATGCAGGTTGAGCAGAAGGGACATCTGAATAGTTAGACACTATTTTTTTTCCTTTTAGTTTTTTGAGACAAGGTCTTGCTATATAGTTCAGGCTGGCCTTGCACTTGCTATGTAGCCCAGGTTGGCCTCAACTCGTGGCAATCTTCTTGTCTCAGCCTCCCGAGTGCTGGGATTACAGGCATGCACCACCATGCCTGGCAGCCTGGTATTAAAGTGACACGGGTAAGCCATAAAAACAAACACAGTGGGTTAAAAAGATTTTGCACATTATTCTTACTTTTTCACCAAATTCACTTGTCTTCCTTGTGAGTCTACATCTTACTCTGTCTTTTCTAAAATGGGCATTTTCTGGTCCTAGGACTATTTCCTATGTATACTGTACCCAATTAGTACACACTCTTGAGATAAAAAACATAACAATTGCTTCTCTTAAAATTAGTTACCTTTCTCTAGTACTTCAGTGACTCAAAGTCTTAATGTAAGGGACAGGTACCTATGTTATGGAAGCCAATGTTCTCACAATATTTTTAATCATCATTTTCCTGGCATCTGTGGCTACTTTGCAGAAAACCAAGTTGATAATGGCATTCAGATTTTTCTAAATAAATATCCCACAGGGCCACCTCAAATGTCCTAAATACCTCCTGCAAAATTATACACAGTCTCCGGGGTGCAGAACAAAGGAAACTAGCAGCAGTGTGGCAGTTACCTGAGGGAGCCATACACTCAGTCACCATGGAATGTGGCACAATAGTGTGGAAGCCAGCCCTGGGAAGATGGTGGGCATGCTTGGCGCCAACCTATCAGAGAGCCCAGATGAAAAGGTAGAATACTTTGCTCCAGACCCTCTGACTGCATTTCTAGACAGGGGCTTGCCTGTGCGGTCAGGACCTTGAACTCTGTACAGTCCCTCAGAGCTCAACCCTAGGCCAAACTCCCTGGGGCAACTGAGGCCTCAGGAGATTGGTCCTGGAGATAGGACTTCCTGCTGTAGAAGCACTTCGCTTATTTGACTTTCCAGAGTCTCATCTTCATTAGAGTAGTTTCCTGAATCTTGACTGGTCTGGGAATCGTACTTCTTACAGTCTTCATCAATTTCATCAGTCTCCTCTACTATGATAACACTTTGTGTGTTTTCAATTATGAAACATTTTTCCGTTTGTTCCTCAGAAGTGGAAAGTAGAAGATTCCCAAATGAATGTTCAGAGAAATTCTAATTTAAAAAAGAGAAGGAACAGAAAGGGATTATTTACAATACTAAATTAATTAGTTTTCTGGTTCTGACAGCTTTAAATTTCTTATGTCTATCATTTAGAAAACTTATGTTTTGGTACAAAGATTTAAAAAATCAGCTAAGAACATACCAATGGCATTAGAAAGTCTAGACAGAAATCAATAATGAGTTTACTTATCTTTTTTTTTCTTTTTGGAGACAGGGTCTTGCTATGTAGTCCAGGCTGGTCTTAAACTCACTATGTAGCCCAAGCTGGCCTCAAATTTGCCCCAGCATCCTGGGTGCTGAGATTACAGGCATGCACCACCATACTCGGCAATGTAATGCTTTTATTTAACATGCTACCCTCATAAAAGGTTCTGGTAAAAACTGATGTGTCATGAAAGCAAACTCTTGATTTTAGAAGTTTCACCTTCTGTGGGTTCATCCATGGAATATACTTTTTACACTGAGTGACTTAGTCTTTGTGATACATTGTCAAGAATCACAAAGAGTTTAAATGTAGAACAAATGCCTCAGTAGCCAGTCAGAAAAATAGGTGATTAAAAACGAACCTTACGGTTCCGTGCTATAAAATATTAAATGACTGTTTCTAAAGTGAATTTATGGAAACTGAGGAAAATAATCTGTCTGTATTATTTTCTATGTACCAAGAAAACATATATTACTGAAATCAAACATATTTCCTAGCTGTAGACAGAGAAAAGTGACAAACCTCATCAATACTGCAAGGAGGTTTAAGTGCCGGGAAAAACACATACTTGAGACATCTCTGAAGGATTTTCACAACACAAATGACTATGACTAGTAGGGCGAAAATTCCAATTACTACCCATGTAGTAGAAGAAGCTCCTAGAAAAGACACAGATGGCGTTTAGCATCAGTACATGTTTTGACACACAAATGCATGAATGTAAGACTAGCTGCATGAAAGGAAACATAAAATCTATTAAATAATACCCTTAAGAGTATTTCTGTAACACTGAGTGTGCAACAGTGGACAATGATATTTGCATTTGAGTTCTCCCTGGGCACTGAACTAAGAGACCCAAAGGGAAGAATACAGAATCGACATACAGAGCCCAACAGGTGAGTATTCTCCAGTGAATATTCTACTACATTCAACTAGTAAACTTTTCAAAATATTCTGTGAATAAGGCTCTACCAGTCAGCTCCAGCAACTGTAAATACAAGATGAGACTAAACCACTTACACAGAAAAAAAAGTTCACAATAGAACTACTTCGTTTCCGTATCACTAAAGATTACACAAAAAATTAAAATGAATACATTTTTACACGATAAAGAGCAATTATTAAAGAAAATTAATGATGTGAATATCAGATGAAATACAAAGCATTAAAAATGTTTTCAAGGGCCAGGGATTTAGCTCAGTGGTTTTGCCTCCAACTACGCAAGCGCAAGAATTGGAGTTTGATCCCCGGTACCAAAAAAACAAAACAAAAAAACCCCCAAAATGTTTTTGAGCTGGATGTGGTAGCACAGGCCTGGAATCCCAGCACTTTGGAGGCTGAGGCGGGAGGATGGCTGCAAGTTTGAGGTCAACCTGGGCTCATCGTGAGTTCAAGGCCAGCCTGACCTACACAGGGAGACCCTGTCTCAAACACCCCCCCAAACAAGCAAAAAACCCCAAACAGCAAACAAACAAACAACAATTTCTAAAACTGAGGCACTTAGCTTGAAGCTTTATTGTACAGTATATTTAATCTTTTTGGTGGAAAGTTTACTTTTGATTCATATAGTTCACAAAGATACTATTCTCTAGCTTTTGTAGTGAGGAGAAAATATCCTATAATTTTCAGTTTTTCTCGAGTCAGGTTACAGTTTGTAAAAGGTATAGTATAAGACTCTCACCTGGCTTTGTTTTCTCACACACCACAGCACTGAAAGCACTGGTTTTATTCCACTTGTCCTGCAGAAGGTGCCACCTGGCTTTGACACAATATAGCCTCAGTGGTTGCAAGTCAGGGATAGTAAGGTCAATTTCCTTTGCTACAATTTTTCTCTATAAAATAATTAAATCATTAATAAAATTTAGTCACCTTGTGAAGTTAGATAGGGGATATCTGATTTTCTGAATTCTTTCACATTCAATTTAAGGTTGGCCTCTCCCAAGGTATTGGTATGTAGTTAGGAAATATAATTTGTCTTGAACAACTCACTGTAACTAAGCCAGAAAGTTAAAGATGCGGCGGATAAGATGACATATCCCTAGGACATCTCTAATCTAATGAGTGCATGCTGGTTTGGTTTAATTGCTACTGTGACAGAATGACTTGAGAGCAGGGTTTTGGCCTCTAACTGCTTGTGTAAAAGTGTTACTTTTAGCTGTGTGGCTTGCTGCAAGTTACTTAATTACCTGATGCCTTATTTCCTGATCTGTACAATGAGGACAATTATTGCTCCTCTCTGTATCGGTCAGCACTTAGCACAATAGAGCTGTGTAACGAAATCACTCCAACTTTTCACAGCTCAAAACATAATTATATAGTTTTCTCACTCACAAGTCTAGGGATTGGCTGGAGGAGCTCCCACTGAGGCTGTGGGTCAGGCCTCTGCCATTCCACTGTCTCTGGGCCTCCTTGGGCCAGAGAGACTGGGAGGATGTGCTCCCCCTCCCCCCCTCCGGTAAAACAGGACAAGCATAGAGCCGAGCCCTGCTGCCTCTGCCCACAGCATGTCCTCTCGGGCTCCATCCTCCACGGTCCAGCATCTGTCAGTGAGCGGGATGAGCACTGCACCCCACATGTCTGCTGAACAACAATTTCACCGAGCATGTTGTCTGGGAGGATTGTGTGAGTGAATGATTCAGTGATTTATGTAAAAAGCATGATAGGATAAGACGGCAACTAAAATTTATTCAATCTTTACTATTTGTTAAAGCAATGTGCTATTTTCATGTGACCCCCCCTTTTTTTTTTGGCACTGGGGATCGAACTCAGGACCTTGTGCTTGCGAGGCAGGCGGCTGAACCAATCCCTTTTTTAAAAGAAGGATGTTTTGCTGCACAAGCGCAAGGACCTGAGTTCGATCCCCGGTACCAAAAAAAAATAACATAAAATAAAAGAAGGATGTTTTAGGGCCAGGGATTTAACTCAGTGGTTCTGCTGCCTGCCTCACAAGTGCAAAGTCCCAAGTTCGATCCCCAGTACCAAAAAAAAAAAAGAAAAAAAAAGAAGGATGTTTTAGTTGCTATGATTACCACCACTTTAGAGAAGAGGAAACAGAACATCCAAGAGGTAAGGTGACTTGCCTCAGATTAGGCACACAATTTGTTAGCATAGGACATAAATTCAGGTTTGTTTGATTGCAGGACAGCTGAAAACTAACTCTCAATGGGCTAAGTTAGGCTATGTGGTAGAATAGCCAGATAGCTAAAGTGGGAGCAGTCTAAACACTGGAACTTGCTTTCAATTTCCAACAGTAAATGAAGTTACAGAATTTATCAACTTAACTACGTGAGATTTTTAAAGGTTGATTTCTTGATGGTGTTCTACAAGGAATCAATGTGGTTATCTGAGGGGGTATATTACGTCTAACTGTGGTTTCTGAATTTCAGTGTTTAGACCAGTGTTTCTCAACCCCCTTTTCCTTACTACACCCAAAGACTTCTTAGATAATTTTTTTTTCTAATTCCTCCCCAGCCATGAAATTAAATATTAAGGGGTAAGGCTGAATTCTGGAGGCATGCTTTTCTCCTGGTGAGCCATAAACCATCATGATATCTGAAATTCTTTTGCTCCCTAAGAACAATCTTGTCTCCTTGGAGGTGGGACATTTGACAGTGTCAGGAGATGTTTTCGGCTGTCACACCCAGAAGGGAGTGATACTGGCATCTGGAGGGTAGAGGCCACAGATGCTGCTAAGTGTCCTTTGAACACATGGTTTCTCTACTATGAAAACCCCAAATTATAAGTAAATTGAAGAACAAAATAAAAGATAGACACTAAGAAGCAGGGAGGTACAACTTTTGTAAAAGGGAAGGGGACCAAGAGATGCAGGGAGGTGGAAGGGAGAGAGGAAGGGGATGAAAAAAGAATTAAGATGTGTTATGCACACGTACCAACTCCCCACAATGAATGTAATCTTTATGTCGTGCAAACATGTACCAATTGAAAAAAAAAAATAAGAAATTACTCTGCCCAAGGTTATACAGGGTTGAGAAACCTTGGTTTGGGCAAATACCTAGGAATCACATTAAAAATGGGTTTGAGGGCTGGGGATTTAGCTCAGTGGTTCCGCTGCCTGCCTCGCAAGCGCAAGGTTCTGAGTTCAATCCCCGGTACCAAAAAAAACAAATCCAAAACAAAAAATGGTTTTGATTCAGTAGCACTGGGCTCCAGATCTGTATTTTGAAAGCATACAAAGACCCAGATGCAGCTGATCCACAACCCGCCCATGCAGAATACGGACAAGTGCTGGCATTCTTTCTATTGCAAATGGTTGCATGGTTCACCACACAGTCTTAAAGTTAAAAAATTCCTCCCAAAATGTAAATTCAAGTTTTATTTACCCAAATCAGAGTTGTAACTCCAAGATACAAAATTATACTCTGCGGTCTTCTTACCTCAGTATTTGAAGTGTTTTCCCAAAAAATAACTTCATAAATGAAGGGGTAAAATTTGTTCCAGGGATCTTTCAGAGCTGTGACAAAGACCCGCATTGAATCACTAGTGGATTTCACAGAAATGTCTGGAGGAAATATGGCATCTAGAAACAATGTGTAAAGGCACAGTGTGCAGTTAGACATAATACCTGATTAGATATTGCCAAACAATTTTAAAAACTTGCAACAAAACAGAGAATGATAGTCTCAAGTAAAAAAACCTACTGACTTACAGTACATTTCAGTATTAATGTTTTTCTCCTTAGACCAAAAAGATGTGTTGTTTCCATCCGATGCTTGTACACGGAGAACGCAACTTCCTTTTAGGAAAGTATTTTGAGGAAATACACAATATGTAGTTCTGACATTTTCACAGTTAGGTATTTGTTTCCATTTATCTGAGTTGTCCCCAGGAATCAGTTTTGAAAAAGCACTTTTAAGAAAAAAAGAAAAAGGCAAACACATGAATTCAGTAACTATGTGCTGAGAACTTACAATAAGCCAGACACGGTTAAAGACTAAGGTCACAGGAACAGATCCTTCACCGGCAGGAAACTCACCATAGAGCTGAGACACATACATCTAACACGTAAGAAAACCAAAGATTGCTCCAGAGTGTGACAGACAGAATAGCGGTGCTAGAGGTAGCTCATATCAATGCAGAAAAACAACTGCTACATTTTTAGGACTATTATAGAGGGTTTTTAGACACAGTCATGATTAAAAACTTAATTATAAAACCTTACAAATAAAAATCATATTAAAGACAAAGGCAATAAATATTTAGAACTCATTCTGTCCTTACTGTACCTCACTGTCTATGTTCCCAAAGGTATTCATGTCGATGGTATCCACACGGTGGAAATACCATCTAATGCTGTCACTGTGCACGATTTCTCGTTTCCAATGTGTCATACCTGCCTCTCAATCAGTCACTCTGTCTGCAGGGAGCTGCAGGTGGCTTAAGTAGCGCAAAAGCACAATCAAAACACCTAGGCAAGAGACTGATGGAAAAGAACTTACTAGAGCCACTGAGCTCGAAAGGTCACATTTCTATCTTCATAATCCCACTTCAGAACATAGCTCTGATTCTGAGTAACAACTTCTACATTTTCTGGTGCAGGTGGCTTATGTTCAACTAGAAGTCAGAGAAAACATAAAAAAACACACATTTTCACTCTTGTGATATTATATTTGACAAGAGTTCTTCAAGAATTCTCAACAGCATGTGCAAGATGATAAAAGGCTTACATTTTGTCAGTATAAGGCAATAGTTGAGTTATGGTGTGTAGTCACTCTGTAATACTGTGCTGTCATTTAAAAGAATGTGGTACATAGATCTGTATGTACTGATATAGGAAGATATTCTCAACACAGTGCATTAAACAAGCAAGGTATAAAATAAACACATCCAGCTTCTTCTCCAGGAAAACACCAAATGGTGGATGACGCTGGTACAGTGGGAAGGCCAGGAGGCCCTGGGAGCCCAGGCATGGGAGGTCCAGGGATAAGAGGCCAGCGGTGGCTTCTGTGGAAGCTTTGGCAGTGGCCTTTAAGGGCATGGGCGTGGCAGGAGCTGGGGTCAAGCCTACGGAGCTCAAAGCGGTAAGGCCCAGGACTTGGAATGGATTCTGGTCACCAAGCTGGGCTGGCTGGTCAAGGACATGAAGATCAACTCCATGAAGGAAATGCATCTCTTCTCCTTATTCATCAAGGAGTCAGATTACTGACATCCCTTAAGATGAAGTTCTGAAGATCACGCCTGTGCAGAAGCAAGCTTGTGCTGGCCAGTGGACCACGTTCAAGGCATTTATTGCCATTGAGGACCACAACGGACACATTAGTCTGGGTGTGACGTGCTCCACGGAAGTAGCCAGTGCCCTTGCAGGGCATTCATCCTGGCCAGCTCCCCACTGTCCCCGTGCAGAGAAGCTGCTGGGGAAACAAGACTCGCAGGCCCCACTTTGTCCCTTGCAAGGTGACAGGCTACTGAGGCTGTGTTGGTGTCTGATCCCTGCCCAGGGGCACTGGCATCGTCTCAGCCCCTGTGCTCAAGAAGCTCTGCTGATGGCTGGGACTGAGGATGGCTACACCTCTGCCAGGGGCTGCACTGCCTCTCTGGGCAACTTTGCCAAGGCTGCCTCTGATGCCATCTCCAAGACTTACAGCCACCTGAGCCCAACCTCTGGAAAGAGACCATGTTCACCATCTCCATGCCAGGGATTCACCCACCATCTCATGAAAACCCACACCAGAGTCTCTCTCCAGAGTACTCAGGCTCTGGTGGCAGCTAAAACATAGAGTTTTTACACAAGAAAAATAAAAGGAGTGAAATTGGTACAAAAATAAATAAATAAATACATCCAGCAAGAGCCTCTTTTTTAATTTAATAAAAACAAAACTAAAGAACTCTCCATCTGTGCATATATGCCCTAAAAAAGTATCAAAGTATAAACACAAACTGCTAGACATGCCCATCTCCTGAGAGATAGAATTGGGAGTAAGATGGCAGGACAGAAAAATTTTACTTTATACCCTTTGTACTATTTGATTTTAAGAAATAAAACATATTAAATTTATAACTAAAATAACAAACAGATCCTAGCTCCTATCCCTGACTTTAATTACTGGCAAGGTATTAATAACTAAATATATCAGGATGCTTTTTCATATTTTAACATTTCCTTTAGAGAGGTACACTTTTTGGAAGATTAGCCATTCTACTAGCAACTTACTTCCCCCTTTTTATGGATTCTTAGCAAATAAAAACAGATATTTTTCATTATAAAATACCTGAATTAATCTGAAATAGAATTTTCATTATTATGAATCCAAATCCCAATATCCCAAATATTTTTTGCTTATAGAAATGCTTTTGCTTTATTATTTATTAAATCATCATACAAACATGATTTAGAGGAGAAATGACAACATTAAATAGAGACATTCCTTGTTAAATGACCACGTTCCGTTCCTGTGACAGGTCAGTAAATAAGGAACTCTATGTAGTATGTCCATTACAACATTCAGAACAAAGAAATGGTCAAAGGGAACTCCAACTTGATGACTTTGCTTTCATCTGGGTAACTTTTTTTTGGTACTGGGGATCAAACTCAGGACCTTGTACTTGCGAGGCAGGCGGTGGCACCACTGAGGTAAATCCCTGGCCTTATCTGGGTAACTCTTACATGCAGTACTGTAATGTAAACAGGACACAAAACTACAGTACTGTACTGTAAAGTATAATCAGCAACAATTACAGTACTGTGCTGTAGAAGAAGCTAGCGTAAGGCCACACTGCCGCTCATGTTCCTGCACTATAAGTCCAAATGTGGGTCATAAGTCCAAGCTGCAGTCCTGAGTCTGAACAGTTGTTAAACAGGCAGGTCGTTAAACAAGGAACATCTGTACTGCCAACACATAGTTACTGAATCTAAAGCAAATTGTCCTTACCTGTGGTATTTATACAATATACCGGGCCACAGACACCAGATCTATTCTGCAAAAGTAGTCTTGCTTTAGCTTTTAAACAATATGTTGTCTCTGGTGAGAGGTTATAAATTTTATACGTGTAATGATTGGTTTTGATCTGTTTCTGTAATAAAAAAGTAATCTCTTCTTTAAAAAACTATAAAGTCAAATTTTAGAGTTCATTTACCTTATTTTTCTCCACATCAAACACAGATAAAAGATAATGCTTACTTCCACTTGTGAAGAGTTTTCCCAGAAAACTAAGCTGAATGAAAAGCCTGTAGTATCCATACCCCATATAGAACTGTCATCTTTTTTTCCAGGACGGAAGAAGTATATTATTATTGCTTTATCTTCAGCTTCTAAATGTACTTCCGGAGGACCAAGGCGAGCTGCACAAATTGCAACAATGACTATGTAGCTTTGTTAATGCCATGTTCAAACATTCACTTCACAAGTAATTAATGCGAGCAGTTCATACACAGTAAAACATAGGAAGTTTCATGGGTCTTATACTCTAGAGGGATATAGGGCAAAACCTCTCAAATAAATAAATACGTATGATGTTATGTGTGCCATAAAGAAATATAAAGTACTATAAAGGGATGCACAATGGTAGTGTGTTTTAGGTAAGCTAGGAAAAAGCCTCTCAGGGAGAGACATTCAGGCTGAGGCCTGAAAGGTAGCCATGCGAATATCCAGGGAAAAAGCTGCTCAGGCTTCGGGGTATCCAATGCAAAGCCCCTAAGATGGAAATGAGCTTTGTGTTTTCAAGAGACAATGAGGGGGCTAGGAAGGCTGAGAGTGGCTGAAAAAGAGATCAGAGAGGTAACAAAGAGGTCAGAATCTGTGAACTCATCAGAGGGCTGAGACTGGCTGAGGATGTCACGATCCTAGTCAGGTTCTGGAAAGATTGCCCTGGTTAAGTGTGAAGATGAACAGGGAGTCCAGCAAGAAATCAAGCGAAGCACGAAAGCAGCTTAGTAAAGGGTGAAAGTGAGGAAGACTCAGATGTATTGTACAGATGGGTCACAGGGAATGTGCTGAGAGACAGGATGCAAGGAGGGGAAAAAAGAGGTGTCCAAGGTGTTTGACCTGAACACACAAACAGTGATGCAATCAACTGAGACAGTAAAGACCGAGGGCGGGCAGCTTTTAGGGAAAATGGAGGGCTCTGTTCGACCATTTGAAGTGTGAGATGGCTTCCAATGTCTAAGGAAAAGTGTTGAATGGAGACTGCGATACACGTGGAAAGGTCGAAAGGAGGAATGGGGCCTCCGACTGGGCAGCCAAGAGCATGAGATGGTATGGAGAGCCATCACAAGATGACCAGGGGGCCGAGTGGGGAAGAGGTACAGCTGGGGCCTGCAGCCAGCCAACATCTAAGTGTGGGGCAGGAGGAATGGACACTGAGCAACCAATGAGCAGAGCCAGGGAAGAGCTGGGCCCTACAGAGCAGGTGAAGGAAGAACGCCAAGAGAAAGGAGTGACGACATCGACACTACAGAGCACCGAGCCAGAAGAGGGCTGAAGTCACTGGTGACCTCGCAAGGAGTGGTTGCAGGGAAGTGAGGAGGAGCAGAGCTTGAATGGTGTGGGACCAGGAGGAACCCAGGGAAAAAGCAGCACGGGAGAGTACAGCCCGTTCTTTGTTGAGTCCTGGTACAGAGTAGTATTTCTTGGACTTTTTGGTCTCAGGACCTCTTTATACTTTTAAAGAAATTATTGAGCCTCCCTGAAAGCTTCTGTATATATGGAGTATGTCTTCTGATATTCAGCTTATTAAACATTAAAACTGATAAATTATAAAATATTTATAAATTCACTAAAAATAACGACAAATCCACTACACAGTTTCAAACATTTTTTATAATTTTCTTTCCCAAAATGAGAAAACTCTCTCAAATCTCTTTAATGCCTGGATAAATAAAGAAGACACATGAACATTACAGCTGCATTCAGTGAGTTATCTCATCATGCTGACTAACAGCCTCCTTTGGAAAATCCCACCATCCACGAGAGACTGAGAATCAAAAAGGCAATTAAGTCTCAGAATAATAACTCAGAACAATTTCATAATGATGAAAATAGTTTTGTCTTTGTGGATTCCCAGGGTCTTGGGGATGACACTTTGAGAACCACGTCTTCCAGGAAGGCAGAAACATGGAGCCATAGCAGGAGGGATGTACAGGTTTAAGGAACTCTTTGTTCTTTCTTTTTGAAAGCTAGGAGATTTTACATGATGTAAATGAATGAGCCTGGAAAGAGAACTGTCTGGTAGTACTTACCAGTACATAGTTCAGTCAGCACCTTTTCTTACCTTTCTCAAATGGTATAAATGAGTCAACGTAATACCACGAAGAAGTGCTGTTTTCTTCTTCTGCTCTTATACGCAAAGTAATGTTTTCATAAAAATTTATGTCAAGCAAAGAGAAGCTGCATTTTGAACCTGTGATATGTTGACACCCAGGCAATTTTATCCAATTATCCATCTCAGATCTTTAAGGTAAAAAACAACATACAAATGAATGAATGAGCAAATGCATGAATCAAATGTTTTCTGTTTACTAATGTTGTAAAGTTAGCTTAAGAAGTTATTTCCTCTACTTGCGTTAATGTCTTCTTAGCATTTTAGTGTGTAGATACTTCCACTCTGTTATGATACCTATAAACCAAGTTACTACTTATGAGATGGAATAACTCAGACACATAGAGTTATTTTTTATGTTCAAAGTCCTTTCACTGTACAATGTCACCTGTTTCAAAGGTGTGGGGCGCAGGTACACTGTGAAACAGATAAATATGCCAAGCTTTTTCTTTTCTCTCTCTTTTGTTTTTTTTTCCAGTACCAGGGATTGAACTCAGGACCTTGTGCTTTCGAGGCAGGCACAGTGAGCTAAATCCCTGGCTAAATCCCTGGCCCTTCTTTTCTATTTTAAATCAGGCATTTGTAAAGGAGAAAGGATATATTAATTACATAAATAGTTTTCGAATAGCAGAGTAAGCCACCAAATTGTCACTAGCAGCCACAGAGAACACAGAATGGATGCTGGGGATCTCCTGATGGTTATGAAGGCAGAGGTGGATTATTTTACCTTAAATCCCTCTCGCCAAATCGTTTGAGACTCCTGACTTAAAGCAAGAAGAGACAAGCTCTTCTTGGCCCTGGAGGATGTGGGAGGTGCTGAGGCAGCCAGAGGACAAGCCTGCATCAGAAATAGGGCCAGACATGGCCATGGAAGAGGATGCCATACAGGACACTGGCTGCGGGGCTGTTCCACCCCTCTTGCAGCTGAGCATCCTCTGCCCTCAGTTAAAAACCCAGAAAACAAAACAACTACCAGGTAAGAAAGGTTCCTAAAAAAGTAGCCACTGTATACATGTGTACTACAATGGGTAAAAATAAAAAAGGACTTACAAGGTAGTTATTTTACATTAGCTTGTTTTGCTAAGAAAAGCAAAGTATCCTGCTCTACAGATAGGAATGTAAGCCCTTTGTTAGAAATATTTCTTTCAGCATAGATACAGTGGGCAATTAAGCTGAATTCACAATCATCTCCATAATGAGTTTTTTACACACAGGGAAAACCAACAGCCAACTTGATGGATACCTCTTCTCCCTTTTTCTGAAAAGAAACTAACTTACAGCCTCCCTGCCAGAGAAGCCAGGCACACGTGGCCCTAGGTTCCCAGGATGTCCTCAGTCCATAGCAGGCCCCACAGCAGAGCTGCCTCTCAGTAGAAATGGCTAATTTTAAATACAGTTTTCTATCTAACTTCAGGGGTGGTTGCATTAAATGAATTTCAAGGAAGCAGAGACTTAAATGACCCATAAAGGAAAAAGAGATTTGGTGTTGGCTTTGTACAACATAATTGTGTGACTTCTGGACTATTTTGCATTTCTGGATCTTATCTTTCTATTGAAAATTTGGAATTGGATTTGATGATCCCTTTCTACCTCATCCTATGAACAGGTTACCTGTCCTAAGACAAGATTCAGCTGCAGTGTGGTTTCAGGGTTTCTCTTGCCCACTCCAAAACCAAACCACTCCTCTGCTTCTCATTCTCCATCATTCTATTATAACCTCCAGAAACAAACAAACAAAAAACTTAAAATGTTAACATAAGGAGATGAATTATTCTAGTGGAATTGGTTAATCTGAAAATGTCTGGCCTAACTTAAGTGAGTCACAAACCAACGGGACAAAGCAAACAGGCTGCTTTTAGCAAACAACAGCAGCTCCTCAGTACACAGGGCAAATGGACTCAAAAGGAAGTATACAACTCCCCTGGTGCTGAGAAGTCCAGTGATTGTCTACACACCTGAGCAGACCGTCCTAGTCATAAACATTTCACCCCAGATTCCTTAGGCCCTTCAATACCTATATAACCCTAATTCCTTTCCTAGTTAGCTGCTAATATCGCTCTCCTGGTGTTAGCCCATCCACTCATGGATAAAATCTCTCCCAGCTAGCTGCTGCTATCTCTCTCCCAATGTCAGCCCACCACACACAGATGTGATAAACTTGGCTTTTTCCAACTAGCTGCTAAAATCTCCTGATTTCAGTCCTTGTGCACTGGAATAAACTTTCCTTTCAAAAAGCCTATTTCTGACAAGTGGGTTCTTTATGACAAAAAGTTTGAGATACTGACACTAGATTCTACTTCTTAAAAAGGGGCAGGATTGGCCATGGTGGCATGTTCCTGTCATTCAGCTACTTGGAAGACTGAGGCAGGAAGGTTGGAAGTTTGAGGCTAGACTGGGCAACTTAGTGAAACACTATCTCAGAGTAAAAACTAAAAATGGCTGGGGAAAAAATAAGTTAAAAAATGGCTAGGGATGTATCTCATCACAAGACACTGAATAGTAGTTTAAAACAATAGTAGTTTAAAACAAGCAAACAATTCAAAAGGAGCAGAAGCTGGGCGTATCACTCAGTGGTAGAGAACCCTGGGTTCAATCCCTGGTGCTCCCCTACCCCCACCCCAAATTAAAACAGCCTTAATATCTTTCCACCCATCACCCTTTCTGTGTTCTTTCCAGGAGTGGATCCTTTATTAAACTGCTTTTGCATTTAAGGAAGCCACTACAGTGGGAGCTACTTTTATATTTTCTTTAAAAAATTCTTTATCATATACAATAAAAAGACCAAAGCAAAATGTGATCTGAAATATGAATATGTAACTGATATAAGATTCATTTCATAGAACCAGTTTAACAATAAAACTTCCTAACACCTTCATCCCTCCTATTCACTGAGGTATTCTGAGAACACAGAGTGTCTGGCTTAAAAGGCATATTCAGTATTTGATGAATGAAAGAACAGATGCTACATATTACATCATAATCCAGGTTAGATATAAGTTACAAGTACTGGCCCCTGAGACTGGATATGTTCTACAAGCACTGAGATTGTAACAATTTACATATTCATCTGTGTATTTTATTTTTACCAGTGGTATATGTCCTACATTTTGAGAAATACTGCATTAATAAATACTTGTCTGCTGTAAATATTAAGTATACTTCTGTTGATTGCTTTGTGATACTCTCCCAAGCACGTTATATACACTTAATTATTCAATACTCAGAACAATCTACTGAGTTACAAACTTTGTCACTGGGCCCCAGTATGCCTGGCTGGGCTGAGTTTAAGCTTGTTTCAGCTTATTTAAAATGAAGGACTTCTTTCCACTCTCTCAAGTATCTTGGTTTGGATAATAAATTATATGCGATCATTCCTGTTATTATCTCCACTGAACAAGTAAGGAAACTGAGACAGAGAGAAAAATTAGTAGAGGATGGATTTAAATGGATGCGGCCTGGCTCAAGTCCGTACTGCACTGCACTAATGCTGGCATCTCTCCAGCTTGTAGTGTGGCACAGATCTGCAAGGGAATTGTTTATAAAGCTCGCAAAACAAACCAGGATTAAGGACACACTGAAATAAGGCAATTGATGTTAAAGTCAGAACAGAAGGGTGAAGGACTATGAACTGAAGAATTTAGCTTAAGCAAGAGCACATGAAAGAACATGAATAACGTGAATATGCAAAATAGGCTCTCTATACTTTACTAAGAGGGTATCTTTAAATAAGGGTATCTGAAATAATCCCTGCTATATCTATGTCAGTTGTTTAACAAGAAAATTCTGAATTAAGACAAAGAACAACTTGGTAACAAACCTTACAACTCAATTTAAAAAATTCCTATATAAATACATGCATATGCATTCACAGAGACACACTCACACACAATTGCAAAACTGGGAGATTAATATCCTAGTTTTAGCAGCAAGTGGAAAACAGTAGTGTCACGGTGGTGCTGAAGGTCCTAACACCTTGCTTCTTCACCACCTGCTCCTTCCTGGACAGGTTAGCTCCTTCCTGCCATGGTTAGCAGACAGGGCACTGACCCCAACCAGGTGGCAAAGGACGTGGCTTTCTGAGCAGTGTCCCTTCCACAAGCCTTTCTTCTGCAGCTCCCAACCTGCCTGTCCTCTGGCAACTACGAGGCAGAAAGTCAGCACTAAGGAAGAGGCATTGAAACTCTAGGAACATTCAGTCTGTGGAAATGCAGAGTCCAATCAATATACGCTGTTTATAAGTTGTATCTAAAACTAGGAGACTGCACATGATGATGATAATTGGAAAATCTGAGCATACGAGACTGGGTAGCCTATTCCAAGAGCATGGACAGGCCTTTCAGGATACTGTGCATATTCTCCAGACATGCTCTGTTCAGATGCTAATACATGTTTCAGTGAATCCAGAACACCCAGAGCAGAGATGGGAATAGCTATGGAGTGGAAAAGCTGTCTATCACCTTCATTCCCAAATCCCTTTTGCTTCAAAGATGAATATGACTAAGTCTCTGTAGAAATGAAGTTACAAAGACTCTATAAAACCGACATTTCTAATAAATGGACAAAATAAAATTTTCCCAAACCTGGAAAAAAATCAGGTGATTAAAATTATAAAAATCAGCCAGATCATTCAGCAAATCATTAATAGTCACCTACGTTATATAATCTGCTGAAAAAGTCACATTCCTGACAGATTCATGCCTTCTGTTCCACTTCAGGGTAAAGTCATCATCTATGATGGACACCTCTACATTCTCAGGAGGTTTTAGACTTTTTCCACCTATAAAGGCAACAAGAAACAAAATATTTATATATACATTGTACAGATATTTAAAAAAAGTTATTCTTCCTGACTAAAGAGTGAATACATTTAAATATAACAAAGTATGAGATGTGAACAAAACATACAGTGAATGTTTAAATTTTTTAAAAACTATTAGATTAAAAGACATGCCATTAGTCACCCTCAAATGTCATCCCCCCCCCCACCCCGCCGCCCCGACATCAAACACACTCATCCCATTATTCTTGCCACTTTCTGGAGCAGTTCTGGAAGTCCTCTTTCATTAGTATCTTGTAGTTATGCTGTCATGGCTGCCTCAATGTCCTGAATTGATTCAAAACATTTACCTTTCATGGTCATTTTGACTCTGGGGAAGAACCAAAAGTTGCATGGGGCTACAGCTTGTCAATTAAGGTACATAGAGACACAATGTAATGGTTTTATTTGACAGAAATTGCTGTAAACATTTGACAAATGGGTGATCAAAAGATACTGTGACTATTTGGATTAAAAAAATGTATTACAGTAAAAGACATATTGCCATTAACCCTCTTCAAAATACTCCTCCTCACTTTGAACACACTTATTCTATGATTCTTGGTAATGTGTTTTTTACTGTACTTTTAAAATTTAAATTTTCAAAATTCAAACATTCAGTATATTAATTGATCACCCCTTGTATATAGTAGTCCCTTCTTATTTGTAAGGGTTCCATCCCAAGACCCCGGAGTAGACACCTCAAACTGCAGATGCAACTGCACCTTAAATAGACTGTTTTTTCATAGTGTATGTCTTTCATGTACATACACATACACAAACCTATGATAAGGTTTAATTTGTAAATTAGGCACAGTAACAGATCAACAACAAAAACAAATAAAAGTAGAACAATTATACTGTAATAAAAGTTTGCACTTTGGGGCTATTATCAAGTTTAGAAAGGGTTACTTGAACAAAAGCACTGTGATAGCATAACCGTCCTCCATGGGTACTTGGGACAAAGGGAGGACTCGGAAGCTGGGCATGGGAGAGTGAGGGCTTGTCACCAGACTCCAAATCCTGTGCAGATTTAAACTTGTGAATTGCTTATTGCTAGAATTTTCCATTTAATATTTTTAGAATGTGGATGACTGCAGCTAATTCAAACTGTGGACAAGGGGGACCTGCTATATTAAAAAAATCTAAAAACCTTACAAAGGTAGTCTGCTAATTCTATTTCTGTATCTGAGAGAATTGGAAAAAGATTTAGTATTTTGCCATCCATAAAGAGCACTGTCTTTTAACTGAAAAAAAAAAAACTGTATAAAAATAAGAACTTTTTTTGGTCTCAGAAGTGATAATGATGTAAAGGATAAAAGTTTTAACTATTTTAACAGCTTCAATTTGCTCTCACAGTTTGTTCAGAGATATGAGGTGTGATCAAAAAATATGGCGAGGTTTTAAATAAAAAATGACAGTAAAAGATACATTGTCATTAATTCCCCTCAAAATACTTTTCTTGGCATCAAAAGCACTTATCATTCTTGTCACTTTCTGAAGTGGTTCTGGAAGTCCTCTTTCATGAGTGTTTTCAGTTGTGCTGCTCTGGTTGCCTTGACGTCTTGAACCCATTCAAAACACTTACAGAAATTCCTGTCAAATAAAAGTACCGTGTGTCCTCATCTACCATTTTTCACTGGATCTGGCACTGTGTAACTTCTGGCTCTTCCTCAAAAGTCAAAATGACCATGAAAGGTAAATGTTTTGAATAGATTCGGACATCAAGGCAGCCGCAACAGGGCAACTAAAAGACACTCATGAAAGAGGACTTCCAGAACCACTTCAGAAAGTGGCAAAAATGATGGGCTAAATGTTTCAAGCGAAGGGGAGTATTTTAAAGGAGATTAATGGTAATGTGTCTTTATTTTAAAACCACTACATTTTTTTTTATCACAATACATAGGGCTTCAGATACTCAGAGAACTAAACACATGTGATTTCAAAGTTGGCAGCCTTTCTCAGGAAGCCACATACCAACACTTACAGACAGAGGTATGAATGTATGAGCTGAGCCCTCAGTAGCCCAAGAAGGTCTCTAACCCCAACACATCAAGACTGATTTCCTGTTTGGTCCTCGGGACTTCTGTTGATAGGCCTACTTTACTTGTTACTGCTTCTAACACAAATCTTCCACCAGGTGGATTACCTCTTTTCAGTTTTCCTGTCTGGCCCCTCCCATCTGCAATATACGTCTGTCTCGGACAACACAGATCCTCCAAGGTCCAGCTCAAGTTCGACCCCTTACAGAAAACCTTCCCTGAATACTGCAGCTCCTGCTCTTGCTGGTCTTACACTCCGAACCTTCTAATATGCACCACCCAGTCTCACACTTAAGTAGGAGTACTCAGCTTCAAATACTTGTTGAGGGCAAAATGTGTTCCTTTCCATTTTTTGAAAGTGTGGTAAATTACACATAATGTAAAACTTAACTGTTGTATCCATTAAGCATAAAGTTCGGTGGTATTCACATCGTTTCTCTGGTGTGAGAAACTGAATGTGGAAATAAGGACTAAGATGTATAATGGATGTTGGGAAATGGAAAGAAAGTGTTCAAATGGCAAGAGGAATAAGGGAGGTGGGAGGGAGAAAGAAAGGGACAAGAAAAAAAGTGAAAATAGAAGGAAAAAATGGAAACAAAGCTTTTGAACATAGGGAAGGGAGGGGATTGAGGCAGAGAATAGGATAGAATAAAATTTATTTAAAAATTTAAAAATAGAAAAAAATGACAAAAAAAAATAGTTCAGTGATATTAAATATACTGATGATACTGTGCAACTGTCACTACCATCTTCACAACTCCTTTCAGTTTGTAAAACTGAAGCTCTATATCCACTGAAAAATAATTCTCCATCCCCACTTCCCCTAGGTAACTGCTAGCCATTCTACTTTGTTTCCATGATTGTGACTATTCTAAAACCTCATAAACATGGGACAATACAGTATTTTTTATGATCAACTTATTTCACTTATTATGTTCTAAAGGTTTATCCATGTTGTGGCACATGTCAGAATTTCCTTCTGTTTAAGGCCTAACAGTGTTCCATTGGCTGCATAATCTGCATTTTGCTTACCCACCCATCCATTGATGCATATGTGGTTGCTACCATGATTTAGCTATTGCAAATAAAGCTTTGATGAACAAGAATGTAGAAATATCTCTGTGAGAACATTTTCCATTTTTTTTTAAAACCAAGAAGTGGAGTTGCTGGACTATACAGTAATAGGAGGTTAGGAGGAACTCCTGTACTGTTTTCTGTGGCAGCTATACCATTTTACATTCTCAACAGTGCACAGGGTTCCAGTTTCTCCTCATCCTCACCAATACTTATTTTCTTTTGATAGTCATATTAATAAAGGTGAGGCATTACCTCACCGTGGTTTCAATTGGTAGTTTCCTAATGATTAGCAATGTTGAGTATATTTTCATGTGTTCACTGATCATCTGTATGTCTTCTTTGGAGAAATATCTATTCAAGTCCTTTGGTTATTTTTGAATTGGGGTGTTTTGTTGTTGTTGAGTTTGGGAGTTCTCTATTTGTTTAATTCTTCATCAAATATGGTTTGCAAGTATTTTCTCCCATTTTGTGAAATGCATTTTTACCATGTTGATAGTACCCTCTATTTCCTTAATTGTCTTCTGTATAAGGTACATGTAGTCTGCTGTCCATGAGCCATTTGCTCTTTTTTAAAATGTTACAATAAAAATGTAAAAATAAAGTTTGGCAACGTATATATACATTGACTATATTGTACATTTTACTGTAGCCCAAGACCATTCTTCTTTATTCAGTTAGGCTCAGGCAAGCTAAGAGGTTGGACATCTAGTTTGTCAACTAGAATAGTTGCACTACACATTTGAGGAAGGGAGTATTAAAGTCTCCAACTATTACTACAAAACTCTCTATTTTCCTTTTAATTTTATCAGTTTTAGCTTCAGACATTTTGATGGTTTGGGGGTACATAAATCTTTGTAATTGTTTTCTTTTTGTATTGAACCTTTTATTAATATACAATGTCCTTGTTTGTGTCTTATATATAACCTTTATTGTATGAACTAAGCATTTCCAAAGAAACTATACTCCAGTAGCAAAGTATCAGAAGTGGACTTCTTCCTTCCAAAAGGAGATAAAGCACCATCTGCCTGTATAAGGCACTGGGAGGCCTGAGATAAGGCCACTGAAGGGCTCTGAAAAACAAGCCATTTCAGGTGGTCTGATCTATTTGACCTAAGTCTCATGAGAAGGAGGTGAAAGAAATCCCTGACCTGACTAATCTTGCTAAGAATGCAGTAAGACAGTAATTCAACCCAATGGACAGAGAGAGACTCACTGCTTTATCTTAATGTACTTATGCAGAACCTCACCAGTGTATTTACTGAATGTGTTGATTTATGACTTTGTTCTGTGGCTTATAAAAGCTCACGTATTCCCTTCAACGGTGGACTGTATCATTTAGGGTAATGTGAATCCATATTCCCAGTTCATGGTCACTCAGATTTGACTGGGATAAGCTATTTTCTTATTTTCCTTTAAAACAGAATTATTTTGTATGGACAGCTGGTTGAAAGTCTTTTTGTCAATATTAGTATAGCTTTCCCTGCTTATCCAAGTCTTCCTCTTTGAGTTGGGCTTTTTTTTTTTTTTTTTGGTACTGGGGATCGAACTCGGGACCTTCTGCTTGTGAGGCAGGCGGTGGAACCACTGAGCTAAATCCCCGGCCCAAAGTTTTTTTTTTTTTTTTTGGTACCAGGGATGGAACTCAGGACCTTGCGCTTGCAAGGCAGGCGCCGGAAGCACTGAGCTAAATCCCCGGCCCAAGTTGGGCTTTTAATAAGACTCAAGTTCCAAAAGAGTTACATCAGTTACAATTATGCCAGAGTAAACTGTTGTCCAGCTGGGGAGACAGATTCCTGGTACTCTGTACTCTAAACATATTTTGTGAATCCTTAAAAGACATAATTTTAAAAACTGCTTCTTTGTGTAAAACATAGAAACACAAATTTTTCCTTTTAAATGTAAGGAAGTACTATTATAGATGGATGAGCTAGGTAGAAGTACTGCAGGCAGTCAGATAGGGCCAGGTCCTCCAGAGGATTAGAATAACGGTGAAACATGCCACGGCTGCACCGGAGACACATCGGTTGAAAACCAGGCCTCGAGATAAAGACAAAATGACCAGTCCTACATTCTTCTTCAAAGAACAAACGCTAGGCCTAATAAAGTCTAGATAGACATCAGCCACTCCGGTGGGTGACCAGAGACCTCCGGACCCAACACTTCCTAGGAGAATCTTTGTTCTTTCCACACTTGTTACCTGACTTGTTCCCCAATTGGACCACCATTACCTAAGTGACTGTACTTGTAACCTTATTGGATGCTCATGGCTGTGGCCCATGTTGTACCTACATGGGTTTCACCTCATAAAACTCCTCTGTAAAGTGGGTTCTCCTGGCTAACCACTTGGGACCCTTCCTGCCCCTTGGGATCTTTCCTATCAATAAAGATCTTCCTACTCTTAACCTCCATTCTCCCTAGGACTCATTCTTCGATTTCTACAAGAACAAGAACTCGGCATATCCTATAGTTATATAGTTAACAGGTTGGGAGATAAAATATTTCATCTCTGGTATTATTTCATGAACATTATCATCAGGTCTCCCCATAAACAAGGCAGATGGCAAGTTTCTCAAGGGTGGAATCTGTGTAGCTTACTACTTTATCTGCCATTTTCGGAGTACTCAGCATAACGCTGGGCTCACGGGAACTTTCTATGTTTTGCAGTGATGGGGATCAAACCCAGGGCCTCCCTCATACTAGGCAAGTACATTACCACGGATGTGCATCCCCAGCCCAGGACTTCTTATGTGTCACAAAATACTGGCCCTTCATTTTATAATTTATAATTTTTAAGGACAGCTTTTATACTTTTTTTCTGGTTCCACAGTATTTCTAGCTTTTACTTCTTGCTTCAGGGCAATCATATTATTTCCTTACAGACCACAAAGGTCTTCAGAGAACTTTCTTTATTGGGATGTCTTTCAGTTTGATATTATAGTATGGAATCAAAGGAGGAGAAATTTTCTGAAAAACTAATTATTCTTTTAAACGTAAGGAAGTACCATTGGGTCGCCCCTTCCTTAATTTTTCAGTTTCACACTCAGATTCTCTGAAACTTGATCACTGAACAGAATATACTTACACATCTCTTATCCTTTGTTGTTATTTTTGAGGCACCGTCTTGCTATGTAGTTCAGGCTAGGCTTGAACTCATATAGCCCATGCTGGCCTGGCACACATGGTGATCCTCTTGCCTCAGCTTCCTAAGTGCTGGGATTACAGATGTGTACTTTCATGCCTGGTCCCTTATCTTTTAAAACTGATTTTCATTCTATTTGCTAGAGTTTACAGATTCTGTACAGCCAAAGTGTATACAGGGGTCAACAAAAGATCGGATGGCACTCATTGGTAGTATTTACAGCATGCTGTTCAGAGTATTTTGTCCTAGTAATTATGGGGCATGAGAGAGGAAGAGATCTGATAGGGTAGAACTAGGGATGTCCTCAACTAGGGATGCATTTGCTAAGGGAAGAAGACCCTGAAGCCAGGGGCATGTTGGCTGATTGATGAACAGACAGGAACTGGGAAATAACGGTATTAAACAAGATCTTAGTTTTTACAGATTTTTCTGTTAGTATTTGGAATCTCCCATTAATAATAGTTTATTTCACCTTCTTAGCATATAAAATGCATAAAGGGGGACTTATTTACACTTTTAACCTTCATCCTATCACATTCATCTTGATGGCCAGTAGCGCTTACTACGTGTGATGCAAACGCAACACATACATCTATACAAATAAAAATAAAAATTCCTCCCATATTTTGGGCAACTTTCTTGGTCTAGGGCTCCAGAAGTGTACTTGTTAGGTTGAAAAGTATGAATATTATGACTTGTGAAAGGGAGCAACCTAACAATCTCGTTTAGGTTAGCATGTCATTTAGTTTTGAACATTACTATGGGGAAAAAGAACATCATTTAATTGAAAAATAACTGGTAAGTAGACGCTTAACATACAGGCAGATCATCAAAACTTTACATTATTTGGTCTTTTGGAAACAGTACAGACTGGTTAAGGGATAAGGCTCTCGGGCCAGACTTTGAGGGTGACTTCTCACTCAGCCACTGGCTGCAACACTAATTTCACTCCCCCGTGGGGCAGCGCAGTTGTTTACACAGTGAGGAAAAGTACTGCAGGCCTTGTTTACCATCAATTTGGGCAGCCGAGCTGCGGATTTTTCGGAAAGGAGCAAACTCGCCTTGAGGTTCCCGGAGATGGGCGCGGGCACCCAGGCGTGGCCCCAGGGTTCTTGGCAGGCGGGGGGCCCCCAGTCCACGGGGAGGTATCTGGGATCTCATGCAAATCATGTGGAAGGATCTCCTTCCCCGGGTTTGATTTTGGAGGGCGCAGCGGTTTCCAGCTGCGGCTACGGTCTCCAAACCACGGCGGCACAGGAGAATGCGACAGTCCCCTCCTCACTGCCACCTCCCGCTTCCAAAGCATCTCCGGGCGTGGGGGAGCCCTGGGGCCCGGGACCCCGCGTTTCTCACCTGAGGCTGCGGGTGACCCCCACGACGCCCCGGCCACCAGCGTCAGGGCCGTGGGGCCCAGCAAGGCGAGCATCGCCCAGGCGGCCGCCGTCCCTAACATCTTCGGCCGCACACGGGGCCGTCGGAAAACCTCCGCGCCTCCCCTCAAGAAGGACCACCCTTCCCTCAGCCCCCTCAGTGGATGGCCCCAGGAGCCGCAGGCCACCCCGCCTCTTCCTCTTGGGGACAGGGACTCCCTCGGGTTCCGGGAAGGCCACGCCCAGCTGAAGGCCGCGACTGGGACGCGACGCCTTACACTGCGCCTGCGCGGGGCACGGAGCCCGGAAACCCCGCCCCCGCCACAGCTACTTCCGGTCCTTGGCACTTGGGGGCGCTGGGGGGGTGACCTGCTGCACTCTCTCCGTCTCCGGGCGCTCGCCAGCGTCCTTGACTCAGGCGCTAGGAGCGTGGCGCTGGGAATTCCGCGAGGCTGAGGGTCCAAGGACGATGGAATGAGCGAGCTGCCACATATTTTTGGTTTTGGGTTTTTTTTCCCCTCGCTATTGGCGATTGAACCGAAGGTTTTCGCACATAGTTACCTCCCCAGCCTTTTTTTATTTTTTACTGCAGAGTCGCCAAATTGCCCGGCTGGGCTCCAATTTGGAATCCTCCTGCCTTAGCCTCCCAGAGTGCTGGGATTACAGGCATGTGCTCGCATGCCTGGCTATTGAGTGCTCCTTTCAGGTTGACCTAGCTGAGGGGCAGGAAGACTGTCTCTAAGCTTGCTTTGCTTTGACCTTTATCAATAATTCAAGCCTGCCATTCCAATGGTTATTTATCTACATACCTTAGTAATAGATTATGGACACTGAAGATATGCAAGATGTGAAAGGATGAGAGATGGCCAACCAAATACTTAGTTGTGACTTATAACAACTAAATTATTAGTTACCAATTATATGGTAAAAAAAAATGAGTATCCGTGAAGGACAGCATGATTGTAAAGGCATTTTAACGGTGTGATGTATATACCATAAATTCATGCTTAAGTACACAGTGATTTTTAGTCAGGCTACCCAGGTGCTAACAACTTATTAACAACTGGATTTTCACTTTAGTGGTTTTGGGATTTGATTGTGAGTGTATGGGTTGACATATCTTTTTTTTTTTTTTTTTTTTTTGGTACCGGAGATCGAACTCGAAACTTTGCACTTTCGAGGCAGGCGGCAGAACCACTGAGCTAAATCCCCGGCCCCGACATATCTTCTTGGTATGTGAATCCAAAGGGAAGAGGAAAATTTTACAGGTACTAAATCATACTTACTGTTAAGAACCTTCCTAAAAAATCTCTAAGATATTCATTAAAATTTCCACCTCTTGTTTGCCAACAGTTCTTGCAAAATACTGTAGTTGGAATAGATTCATTTTTATTTTTAGGACAATGAGCTCAAATGACATTTCATTTGAGAGATTTTCAAACATGTTGGAAATTTCTACTTTCTGGAGTGTCATTCAGATTTTTCATAGATATGGTGATTTTGAGGGGAGGGGTAACAAGATTACATAGAAATATATCTTAAAATGCAAGAGATTCTTTTGACTTTTACTTCCTTCTTGTTAGAATAAGACAGATACCCTCATGAAATGGGAGACATAAATTCTCTGGCCTTAACCTATGGCCTGTTACCCACTAAAGATGGAGATACCTCTTTTTCTCTATGCTCCTGTGCTGACAGTGTATGGAGTGTATGCTCTTCATATTCTCCTACTCTTTTTTTTGGCGGGGGTGGGGTACTGGGGATCGAACTCAGGACCTTCCGCCTGCAAGGCAGGCGCAGCACCACTGAGCTAAATCCCCAGCCCTGTATTCCCCTACTCTTCCTGGGAGGACCAGGTATGCTATAACAGCTGGCTGGACACAAGGGTGTCTCCAAGGTGAGAATGACTGGTAATCCATACCTTAACATTAGGAGGAAATCTAAAACAGGAGGCCACACTTATGAACCAATGGAAGTTTACCAGCCCCAGCCCATCCCAGCAAAGCCAGATCTAGTCTTGCTATTTTGGTAATCAGAGCTGCCTGCTTTAGCTTCTTAAGCTAAAGCCCCTTCCCTTTTCTTTCTCTTCCCTTCTTCCTTCCTTCCTTTTTCTGTTTGTCTTTCTTTCTTTCTTTCTTTCTTTCTTTCTTTCTTTCTTTCTTTCTTTCTTTCTTTCTTTCTTTCTTTCTTCCTTTCTTCCTTTCTTCCTTTCTCTCTCTCTCTCTCTCTCTCGTCTGTCTTAAGAAATCTGCTTCCCTATGCATCTTGATGTGTCCTGAAATTTCTCTTCTATGACAAAAGTAAATGAACTGAGGGACAAGATGGGGTCTCTGTCTCTTTGAAGGATCTCCCTGGATCCCATCCACTAATATGCCAATTTCATGATTCCATCCACATCAAGCAGAAGAACCATTGGCTGATTTGTAACAGTATTATCAATATTGCTGCAATTTTCTTTCTTTCTTTTTTTTAAACAAATCTCTTGAATATATTCCTCATGCCAACCATGCCAGAATGGTAATCATCATTCTACTTTCTGGTTTTGTGGGTTTCTTCCTGCATTCTACCACTTTCTTGGCTACCTTAGTATTCCTAGTACCTATAGTATATTAGAACTGTTGAAAACACAATAATAAAAAGATTTCCCCCCAATTTCTACCCCTTAATGAGATTCAAGTAGAGAAATAATGAAGGAAGCCAAAATGATTGAAATTATAATTAGAATAATGTACAATTTTAATTTTCTACTGATCAAATAAGTTTTTGTCTTGCCTCTGGGACAGGAAATATTATGAATGTTCTTTTTATTACTTTCAAATTACCTCAGGTGCATTTGTACTAAAAAGTACTACATTCTTAGTAGCAAAAGAATTTCTAATTTTTAGCTAAATTATTTAACATCCCCCTCTTTTCCCTTCCATAGCTCAATTTGCAATAATGATAGATTGCCATGATTTAATCAGATGACAATATAACAAGAATGCATTTCAAGACATTACAGTGTTTACGCCAAGACTATGGTATCAGCACCAGTGAAACTAATAACAATATTGGTCATGAGAACAAAGATTGTATTTATAGAAGTGAGACACTGTTTAGATATGAATGACTTATTTCTCTTCATTGTATCTCACTAATTTTCTCATGCAATCTATTAATCTGCATTTAGCTCTCTATTCAAATAGTGCTCTTTATTGTCAACCATAGTAGCGCTCTGTCTCCAGATGTTTTCTTTGTTTGTTTGTTTGTTTTGTTTTGTTTTTGGTACAGGGGATCGAACTCGGGTCCTTGTGCTTGCGCAGCAGGCAGCAAAACCACTGAGCTAAATCCCCGGCCCAGTGTCTCCAGATGTTTTGAATTCTCTGTTGCTTTTAAAATTTTGACTATGCTTTTGTTTTCAGATCTCTCTTCTCTTTTCTCATCTCTCTTTCCTTGGTTTCCTGTTTCCTCAGACCATGTCTTCTTTGGTAATTTTTTTGTTTTGTTTTCTCTGGTTTTGCTTGCCATTCCAAAAGTTTATATATTTTATATACCACACGATGGTCCAGTGTGCCTTTATTGAAGAGATTTTCTTGGCTTTCCCAGTGGGCTTCAATTTTCATTGCGGAGCCTCAGAGAGGCCCTCTCTGTTGTTCACTTCTCCTCTATCTTCTGGGGCTCATAACCAGGGCCTTTATGGCCCTCCCTCGTGGCGCCTCTGCTGTGCGGATTCAGATACTGTGCAGCTCAGCTGCAATTTTCTTTCTTTTGGTAGGGACTGAACTCAGGACCTTGCGCTTTCGAGGCAGGCGCTAGCACCACTGAGCTAAATCCCGGCCCTTGCAATTTCTTCTTGTAACTAATCTGTGGGAAGACATTCAGATCCTGGTAATATCCTTTTCTTTATCAAACTTGTTTTTTTAGAATTAACAAATACTGATGAGCTTTTCCTGCACCAGGAAATGTCTGTATGGTTATAAAATGGTGACTTTTCAACCTTGTTCCTACCACTACAAGTACTAGTTGGCACATTGTAAGAAAGAGCTTTCCTCTCCATCCAGTTATGAACTCACAGATTCTTATTTTATTTCATTGGTTATAATTCATTGCTACCCTTATTTAAAATTTTTAATTAATAAAATTCATGTTTGGGCAGTTTTAGGTTTGTGAAAAAATTGAACAGAAAGTACAGACTTCCCATATTCTCCCTCATCCCAACACCAACCTCAGTGTCTCCCATTGTTAACATCTTGCATTGATGTGGTACATTTCTTAAAATTGGTGAACCTATATTGATACATAATTATTATAATTTTTGGTACCGGGGATTGAACTTGGGACCTTGTGCTTGCAAGGCAGGCAGCGGAACCACTGAGCTAAATCCCTGGCCCTTGATACATAATTATTAACTGAAGTCCATAGTTTACATTAGGGTTCGCTCTGTATAGTTTTATGAGTTTTGCCAAATTCATAAGGTCAAGTATCGGCCATCATACAGAATAATTTCACTGCCCTACATTCCCCTGTGCTTCACCAATTTATTCTCCTTATTGATTTTAATGCTTGAGTTGTCCCAAGTACTGCCAGCAGTAGCCAGTTTAGTCTGGTTCCTGTTCATTTCACAGGCTTCATTTTAATTTTAATTTTTTTGCAGTACTGGGGATTGAGATCCTTACGGATTCTAGGCAACTGCTCTACCACTAAGCTAAACCCTCTAATCACTTTTTTTGTGTACTTCCTTGCTTTCTAGCTCAAGATATTTTAGGTTCAGCTTATTTTTCCTGCACAGCCAAGAAATCAAGCATTTCTCCAAGGGGACCTGGTTTTTTATGTGGTATGTTAGTCAGCTTTCTAAGGCTGTGAAAAAATACCCTGGGAAAAAAACTTAAAAGGAAGAGAGAAAAGAGATTCATTTTGGCTCATGGTTTCAGTCAGTCATGGTCACTTAGCGCCATTGTTTCTGCGTTCTGCAGAAGATATGGCCAAGCAAAGTTGCTTACCTAATGGCATCCAGGAAGGAGGTGGGGGGGGGGAGAGAGAATGGAGAGGAGAGGAGAAGAGGAGAGCAGACGAGAGGAGAGGAGAGAGGAGAAGAGAGGGCAATAGGAATAGGGTTAAGGAGAGGGAGAGGGAGAGAGGATGAGAGGGAGAAAAAGAAGGAGGGAGGGAAGGAGAAAGAGAAAGAAATGAATGGATCCTCCTGATGCAGTCACATTACAAAAGTTCATCAGCTGGCAAGTAATCCTCCAGCACATGGCCTTTGGG